TGTCAGAGAACACGCATGACCTCAAGGTTCTTAGTGGGAAACTAAGAGCTAAATGTTAAAGCAGCCTATAAAACCCTAACAAACATCCAGATAACACATCTGACCAGATCCCTGGATACCCCATATCCCAGGCAGGGTGACACATTAAAGACGGGAAGAGCTCAAGGTCATCTTCAGATACATAGCAAGTTTAAGGCCATTCTGAGCTGCATAAGACTCTGTCCCATAAGGAAAAGAGAGAAGAGGGGCGAGCATCTTTTATCATAGGTTTGCCTGTATAGAAAACCCAGTAGGGTTCAGTATTGTCCAGGTTTTCAGTGCAGATGAGAGATTATGCTACCTTTGATTCAAGTTGCACTTCATTCAAGCAGCAAAGGCTAGGCAGGCTTCAGATGGCAGCTATGAGTTCTGGGAGCCACAGCTTTCAGAACCAGCAGCATCGGGGCAGGAGGCTCCCCCAGCATTGGCTCTGAGCACATTTGGAAAGCAGAGGGGCTGTGGCTGAGGATGAGCCCTGATCCAGGCGCTCTGATAGCCAGCATGTACAGCCTGGAGGCAAGCCAAGATACCTTCCATGGCTGGAATATCTACTGCTGTTATCCTCAGGGATCAATCTTTGCTCGGAATCCGTTGCCATGGAGACACATCTAAGTCTATGTTTTTCCCTTAGTGATGTTCAAGAAAGCCTACACACATACCTATTCAGAAAATATTCTAATACGTGGGCTCACATCAAAATAAATGACTATGTCCTTTGCAGAAAACAAAAGCAAGTGTCTGGGGAAGAACACAGTGGAAGCCAGTCTGCTTCAAAACTGGGAAAGAGGTTGGTAGTGAGAACCACCTCCTTCTATACCGCATTCTGCTTTCCTGATTTCAAATAAAACCTGTTTATATTACAAAATGTGGAAAAAATGCATAAAACCCAAAAGGGAAACCTTTAAATAACCCATACTCATTTTTCTTTTTATGGCTAAAAAAAAATAAATAAAATATAAGTCTGTTCCTCCTATTTCTGGGACAAACACCTTTATCAATTTGGTCTAAGTCTGTCCTGCCAATTTCTCTCGTTTTTATATGTCTGTCTATCTGTTTACGCATCTATCTATCCATCCACCTACAATTTTTTTAATACTGAGACAGGGTCTAGCTATATTGCCCAAACTGGCCTTGAACTCTTGGACTCTAAGAGATACTTCTGTAGGCTCCCGTGACTACAAGTATATTCCATTGAGCTCAGCACATTTATTTAATTTACTGATTTATCTAACACTTATTAAGTCATTGCCTTGGTCGGAACACTGTCCTAGGCATGTGGAGATCACTGATAAGTAACTCTATCTATCACTTCCCTATTGCTGCAATAAAATACCATGACCAGAAACAACTTACAGAAGGAAGAGATTATTTGGGCTTACAGTTCCAGAAAGGTTAAGAGTCCACCATAGGAGGGGAGCAGCAAGCAGCAGACATTCAGCGAAAACAGGACACAGGACGCTACATCACATCTTACACAAGCACCGAGCAGAAAAAGCAAACCGGAAGTGAGGGGGACTATAAACACCCAAAGCCCGCCCCTAGTGACGTAATTCCTCCAGCAAGGCTCCACCTCTAGGAGGGTCCACAGTCTCCCTAAACAGCGCCGCCCACTGGGGACTAAGTGTTTGAATATCTAAGCCCATGAGGGGAGTTCTCATTCGAACCACCAAAGCTACAAAAAAAGATCTCCTTTCTCGTACATGTTACAGTCTCTTAAGAGAAGACAGGAAGTTATCCATGAACAGAAATGCTCTACAGAAAAGCATTCTTAAGAGGACCCATTGAAATTGGCCTAAAGGAGACTGGGACATATTCCTGGGACCAGGAACAGTAGAGAAAGAAGGGACCTTAACGATAACATGGAAAGGAGATAGATGTGTCTAACCTGTGACTCGCGGGCCACGTGATTCTCAGGATAGCCATAATGGGACTCCGTGCATTTGTAGATGGCACCATCGCATCGCAAAAGGCCGAATCTGGAGAAGATCACAGACTTATATTTAGAGCTTGTTGGGAATGAAGAGGGAACAAGAAAGAGAAGCCGTTGAAGACGTGAGCCACAGACAAGTCATAGATTCGGGAAAAGCAAATGCCAGAAAAACGTAAATTTCAAGACACTGAGGGAACGGGGAAATATGTTCTGTTCGGTTTTTTAGTTTTCACTCTGGGGAAGAGATTTAAGGAAAAGGTCAGCAGATCCCAGCAAGTTCATTAAGTAAATAGGAGACGAGTGTATGGCCCAGGTTCTTAGTAGGGGATAACCCTAGGCGACAGTTCAATGTGTAAAAGTGCTGGCTGCTTACCCTGATGCCGGATCGCTGAGACACACGTGGTGGAAAGCTAGAACTGACCCCTGCACGCTGTCGTCTGACCCCCACTGTACTCTGTGGCATGTGGGCACACATACAAACACTCATATCCATAAATGAATCTTGAAAGAGGGTATCTCAACACCTTAGGATTACTGTATTTTATTAACCTCATGATACCTTTCTACAAATTTCAAAATCATTGTGGTTTCAGATGAGCAATCACAGCATACTTCCCAAGAAATGACAGTATGGCTCTTCTATTTTTTCATCCCTTAAGATCATGTTTAGGGGTTGGAGAGAGACTAAGCAATTAGGAACATTGGCTGTTCTTTCAGAGGACCCAGGTTCAATTCCCAGCATCCACCTGGCAGTTCACAATTGTCTGTAACTCCAGTTCTAAGGGATCTGACACCCTCACACAGACAAACATGCAGGCAAAACACCTGCAAATTTAAATAGCTTTACACAAAATGAATGAAAGCTAAGGGCTTAATCTCACGGAAGCTCATCGTGTTGAGAAGGATATTGGGGTCAGGGAAGACATTGGGTCCCCACAGCAAAAACACCACATTATTCTATTGTAACCCCGCTCTTCCTCAGATTTCCGCTGCAGGTGCCAACGGCCAAAGGAAAGCAAAAAAAAAAAAAAAAAAAAAAAGCCATGGAGGGGGCTGTTGTGGGTTTTATTTTTGGTGGTGTTTTTGAAAGCCTGTGTATCTGTGTGTACAAGTATGTGTGTGTGTGCACACGAGTACCAGCATGTGTGTATGAATGAGTGTGTGTGTGAATGTACGTGATCGGCAGTGCGTGCTTGTATGAGTGTGTGCATACATGTGTGCACACATATGACACAGAGCCTGTGTGGAGGTTAGAGCTAGCTTGCTTCCACTTTTAGTGTCTCTCTCTCTCATTTCTATTCCTGTGCTTTGTACCCCAGGCTAGTAGACCTACGAGCTTCACGTGGATTCTCCTGTCTCTGCTTCCCATCTCCCAGTGGGAGTGCTTTGTTTGCAGATGGGAGTCATAGGATCAGGGTTTTATGTTGGCTCTGGGACACAGGACTCGAGTGCTTTTACCCATGGAATTATTACCCTGGCCCCCAACTTACTGTTTCTAAAGGTAGAAACTAAGTTTACTGCTATCAGTCAGGCTGTGGTGGCTCACCACTTTAATCCCAGCACTTGGGAGGTAGAGGCAGGTGGATCTCCTGAGTTCAAAGCCAGCATGGTCTACAGGGCATGTTCTAGGACAGCCAGGATACTCAGAGAAGTGTTGTCTTGAGAAAACAATAACAGAAACAAAACAAAAACAGGAGTCCCACTGTCGATTACCACAGAAGGCCAGTTTAGAAAATGCTACAAGTATCTGCAGAAATTCAAGACCTCGTGGAACATGCTCGATCAAATCCCAAAGGAGATAACACAATCCAGAGCTCACACGTGGTCTCCTGACTTAAAGGACAATGGGCATCTCCACCGGCAATCTGTTAGAAGGGTGACCAGCATAGTCATATAGTAAAATACTGAACAATTTCTATTCAGTAAAAGCTTCTGAGATTACTGGCACAGAGAAAGGAAGTGACTTCATTTGTCTTCCATTCGACCCTTCAAGATGTGAAATTATTTCCTTTCACACTGCCAGAACAAACGCACTCCACTTAGTGTGAACCAGAAGCACATAATTTATAAGATGACAGCGTATGGCCCCTGTAGAAATGATTAATATATATGCATTCAGAATACCGGTATGGCGAGGGCTCAGATCATCTTTTTTTTTTTTTTTCTTACATTCCGAGATGGGAGAGATGTGTGAGCCTTTTAATTAAAGCAAGGGCCTTTTCTGTTTTCAATAGGACCACAGCATACGAGAGAGTCAGCGGTGACAGCATCCAGACTTGGAGCTTTAAGTGCTGTTGTATTAATTTCAAAATCTCTGGGCTAAGCAGCTTAAGAGGGCCTATCGCTCAAGGATTCGGTGCAGGGTCGCTTGCCTCTGTGTTTCTGTAAGGAGGCACAACATCACCGGGTCTTTTGAAGACAATAAGTGTGTGTGTGTGTGTGTGTGTGTGTGTGTGTGTGTGTGTTGGGGGGCAGAGGAGACAGAGATGAGACCGAGGACCAGGTGTAACCTTCAGTAACAAGTACCCTAGCGATGAGCTTCTTCTTCCAAGCTCCGCTTCTACCTTCTCCCAAAATAGCGGCCCCATCTAGAGCCCGAGCCCGAGCCTGGGAGGGGTGCTTCGTAGTCAAACCGTTATCCGCTCTCTAGTCACGGTGGGCTCCATCTATCCACGACCTTGCCTCTGAATCTCAGCTCCTCCTTTCCTTGATATCCAGCTGTTGCCTCGAGATCGCCACTTACTTTGACAAGCGTGGGGAGCCCGGCTGAACTTTTGAACTTCCTGCGTCCCTCACTCTTTCTCATCTCCTCGGATGGCAATTCCTCTCCTGTGGTGGCTCAGTCAGCCTTGAGTCTTGATTCTCTCTCCCACTCCACATACAAATCCGTCAACCAATTCTCTCTACTTCCTAAAATAGATCCAAAATGCACCCACTTCTCCGCGGCTTCGATGTCACCCGTCCCACACCACCCCTGCTTCTCGCCGGAATATTGGAGGAAACTTTTTCCCTCTTACTTTTGTACCCCGTTTCGGTCACTTTTTTTTTTTTTTTTTTTTTGATCACCAGCTGCCCAACTACCAAAAAATTATGCTTCCGAAATCTCTTGATGTCGATTCCGCACGCAGAGCAATCGAGTTACCCTGCGTGTGCCACTCACGACAGAAGCCCTTTTTTCGGTCACTTTTTATATTACTTTTTTTTTTGTTTTGTTTTTTGAGACAGGGTTTATATTACGTTTTATTCTATTTATTTAAAACAATTTAATTAGCATGTACACAGTATTAGGTTTCATTACACCATTTCAAGCACAACTAACCACTGCTCTTTTTTTCTGCACCCCCCCCCCCCCCCGCCCCCGGGTCTTCTGAAGCGTTCTTCTGATACATTTCAAACCTTCCATATTAACAACCAAACACACAGTAAACAATATGATTTTTTAAAAAAAACCGCATAGCCCTTCTCCACCCAGCCTCAGTAGTTATTGAGACGGGACTGTTTTTGTTTGATTAACATCCGGGTCTTCCAACTCCAGCCACTGACGTCTCTTGCTCAAGTCTAACGCCACAACCTTTCCTGGCGCGCAAATGCTCTTCCTCTACCTTTGCTGTAGCCTTCCGGCTGTTTCTCAACAACCTTAGGATCAATAGCCTCAGGTCCTGGCTATTCTTCCTGGTGCTCTTCTCTCTCTTCCCGCTGGGCCTTCACCCATGGTTTCCTAAAGCCTGCCTCTGCTGACTGTCTACTTGTAGCAAATGTGTTTCCTAAAACTTGGCTGCTAAGAATGATAGTCTCCACCTCACCCCTAGCCTGTCCACCTTTCTATATGGAAATGAATTCACCGGAAGGCAGATGCTTTGCCAACTACTAGAATTACAAAACCAGTTGTGGAAGAGCTTGTTTTCTGAGCCCCGCCCACCTTTTCCCTCCTCCTTTCATTGTTAGCACCTGTGGCCCTCAGCTTGGTAACTCAAACACCACCTCTCTCTATTCCCTCTAGTAATTGGCTGTCGCCAGTTTTATTTAGCCAGTAGTTTTAAATTTAAGGTTTACACAATTAAGGCTGGTATGCGGATACGTGAGGATCTGCTCATCTTGGCGTAACCAGATCTTGGGGTACAGAATTTGAATCCAAAGCATTTTAATACAAGCAACACCAGACCAAACCCCTACATTAACTAGGTGAGGTTTGCTCCCAGTGGGAGAAGGCTAGCCAGCTGTTTCCCTGAGATGAACAATGTGGTTTCATTGTATAGAGGTAAACTGCATACTAGCATGCACGTGTTCAAAGAGCGAGCCTTCGATCCTGCCGTAAGCCAGAAATCACCATTTGCAGGCCAGGGCAGGGATTTTCAATTTTATTTTTGGTGTTTGTAGCAGTTTAAATGGGAAATGTTGCCCATGGGCTTGGTTATTTGAAGAACTGGTCCCTAGTTGGTAGCATAGTTTGGGGAGTTATTTCAGCCTTGCTGGAGGAAGTATGTCACTGGCGGCCAGCTTAAGACTTTAGAGCCTTCTTCAACTTCATTTTGCTCTCTTTGCTTTGTATTTGCGATTGATGACGCAATCTCACAGAGGCCTGGTCTGGCCATCATGCCTGCCACTATGCTGCTTTGCCTCCCCAACCAATATGGCCTCTCTCTCGGTAACCATAAACCCAAAATAAAAACCCTTTCTCCCATAAGTTACCTTTGGTTTTGGTGTTTTATCACACACAGCAAGAGAAAACAACTACTACAGTTTTGCTGTGCAGTGTCTTAAGAGTTCAACTGATGAGCCGGGCAGTGGTGGCGCACGCCTTTAATCCCAGCACTTGGGAGGCAGAGGCAGGCAGATTTCTGAGTTCGAGGCCAGCCTGGTCTACAGGGTGAGTTCCAGGACAGCCAGGGCTACACAGAGAAACCCTGTCTCGAAAAAAAAAAAAAAAAAAAGAGTTCAACAGATGGTTTGTTTTGTTCACTGATTTAGTTCAGGTCTTCAAGATGGGGGTTTCTCTGTATAGCTCAGGCTGTCTTGGAATTCGATTCATAGACCAGACTTGTTTCCAAGTCAGAAATCTGCCTGTCTCTGCCTCCCAAGTGCTGGGCTTAAAGGTGTGTGCCACCACTGCCTGGCCAGGTCTCTATTATTTAATGTTAGTTCAGAAAATTAATAAGAGGCCATGCAAGTATCTAATAATATCGAAGCATGTGCTTTGAAATGAAGTGATATGGTTTTTTTTGGGGGGGGGTTGTTTTTTTTTTTTTTTTTTTGGTCATGCACATGTATCACATGTAAGCAAAATAAAACATGTGCTCTTCAGGGAGAATGTGACACAGAGTCACACGCTTCCCTCCCACCATGCTTGGAGGCTTCTGATGCCCCCAGGAACCACTGACATCTCAAAAGGTTCAGGTGCAAGCCAACTTCGGCTGTCAGAGGTCAGCCATATCTGACCATTTGTACATTGTGCCTTCAGCAATTCTCAGAATTTAGGCGTAAGCCCTGAGTTTATTCACATGTACACACGTTTATCTATGGACTCATCATTGTCTCTGTCCAATACTCAGGAAAAGGCAAGTGTCCTGGGCTGTGAGGAGCCAGGACTGCAGAAGGAGCCATGGTGTCTTTTCCCAGCATCCTTTGGGAGTCTCAGCACTTTCTGGGAGTTAATGTCTTGCCTCAGAAGATTCCTGTTATTCCTGAGCTATAGACTAGGGAATGTACGTATAGGTAACTCCTTAAGTTGGTATAAACTACAGAATATTTACCTAGTTGACATGGCAGGCGTTTAATACCATTTCCTATGGGTTAGTCACCGGACTTTGATATCTGAACTTTTCTGTTTAGTATCGAAGACTGAACAAGATAGTTGGCTCTACCACTGCCTCTGTCTTCCTTTCTTAAAAGCAAACAAAATCCCCACGTGTCCTACACGCCTACATGTGTAGGCGTGCATATGGAGGTCAGAGGATAACGGGGTCACTTTCCCTCTTCCACCATTTGAGTCCTGTGGATTGGAGACCTGGGTTGGCAGGTTGACAGTACCTTTTCCTGTTGAGCCACCCCACTGGCCCCAGCCCTTGTTTTTGTTTTTGTTTTTTTTAGACAAAGACTCACTGTGTAGCTATAGTGGCCTTGAAACTTGCTATATTACCCAGGCTAATCTCAACCTTGTGATCCTTCTGCCTGAGTGCTGGGACCCTAAGTGTCTCACTAAACTATACAGTGTTAACTATATAGCTCTGACTCATTTTAACAGCTGGGGAAGCCAAGACACGTGTCTATCAAATAACATTTCCACAGGCACACAATCAGTTGTCAGTGGAGATGGCATTTGAACGTCAGCAGATTCCAGTCATGGCCCCAGCTCGGTGGCTACCCACGCTATCCTGGCATTGACCTCACAGAGGACTCTGGCAGTCTGCACCCCACTTGATTAATAGTTTGGGTGAAGATTACAGGGCATGGTGATCGAATTCACAGATAACCTAACTCGGAACAAGGATCTGTATTCACAGGGGTGGTATTAATTCACAAGGTGAGTTTGCTGAGAAAACACACCAGAACCAACATGCACCTGAGGGGAGGCTCCTCCACCTCGGCACCCTTGACTATTGAGGACAGACAATTTTTCCTTTGTGAGGAGCTGTCTAGAGCACGGTGAGATGTTTGACAGAGCCCCTGAGTACTTATCACTGGTTTCTACTAACAACTCCTAGTTATGACAACCAGAAACCTTCCAAACAGTGTCAAAGTCACCCAAAAGATAAAACAGCTTCCTGTTGAGAACAGCTGACTTGATTTATATATTACACCGATTTATTTCATGATTGTGGCAAGTGGTAGGTGGAGTTGAAACCGAAATCAAAGTTACCTGACTCCAGGTGGCACAGGCTTATCATGAAGAATTAACTTGCAACGAGTATGGGTTGCTGTAACCCAAAGGAGTTGGAAGGATGAATACATGCAAAGAAAACCAGGTGGTTAGGCCAGTGAAAGGATGTGTGTGATCCTAGCACCAGGAAATATTCAGTGAAAGAAAGAATTGCTTCAAGGCTGAGGCACTGATGAAAAAACGCCCTTGTCTAGAGAAAACTCAGAGGTGGGAGGGAAAGAACGGAAGGAGCCTCAGAGGTAGGAGGAAAGAACCGGAAGAAGCCTCAGAGGCAGGAGGGAAGAACCGGAAGGAGCTGCACACATTCAACCCAAGAAAGAATCAGACCTGAGATTTGCCTTTGAGAACTTGGGAGACTTGGAAAGTAAGCCAGTATATCTTTTAATTTCTCCCCAGCCTCGAGGGGGATTAAGAACCAAAAACATTTAAAAATTGTGATTAATAATGGGCTGAGGTGAAATTCTTTTTTTTTTTTTTTTGGTTTTTCGAGACAGGGTTTTTCGAGACAGGGTTTCTCTGTGTAGCCCTGGCTGTCCTGGAACTCACTCTGTAGACCAGGCTGGCCTCAAACTCAGAAATCCGCCTGTCTCTGCCTCCCAAGTGCTGGGATTAAAGGCGTGCGCCACCACCGCCTGGCCAGATAGTTGTTTTTGAGCAGAGAAACCCTTCAACAGCACCCACAGGCTCTCCTTTCAAACAAACATGCATTTTTTCCCCCTTAAAACAACCGTTTTAACCTTTCGTTGTTGGGCTCTTGTCCTCGGGACACCTTCCCAACTGTCTCAGTAAGAGCATGCCGTTTCGTTTTAATGACACTAATCTTTTTAGCAATTGCAGGTACTGCCTCTGCATCCTCTTTTTGCCTACAGAAGCAGACAGAGTTTCTCGCCCTCTCCTTACTAAACAGCACATTGCTCCACCCCTCCCACTCCTGCATCGTAGATCTGAGCATGCGCAGTGAACAGTACCGGTGCCACATCCTGAGTACTGTGCTGAAATTCACCAACAGCCAAAGAAATGATCTCATTACTTTCGAATACGACCTTACTCAAACTTTTAGAACATAAGTAGTATACAGCAAAATCCTTTGCCAGAATGCAACAAAAATGGCCTCTGGCTGAGTTCGTTATGGTCCCGTTGGCCTCTGAAACATCTTAAGCACACCACCCACAGTCAGCAGTACTTTCAGTATTCTGGTCTCCCATGTTCCCAATAGAAAGGCCGATTAAGCTGTTTACAGAACTCTGGAATTTCCCTAGTCTGAAGCTCCAAACTTTCCATGGAATATCCCAATGGGCT